GATATTTTCAATCTTTGTATTATTGTGCTATAGCTCACACTGCACAATGAAATTGCAGGGTATAAAACTTTACAGCTAACGATGTTTGTTCTTATACTGTATGGCCTGATGCTCTGATGTAATCTAACTAGCTCACACTTTCAGTTCAGTTATTTTTGTTACACTATAAGTCACCCCAAAACAAACTTTTCTTTCTGCAGTTAAAATGTATAAATTGAGCCCCATGGTACTTTTTGATATTCATGAAAATGCTTTGATAAATCTAAGTTTAACAACTTTCTTAGTGCAGCTCTTTCAGTGTTGAATGGTGGATATTGCAATTAAATAAAATTATATTAAATTTTTATGCTGGCTCCAATGAGTGTTGCTTACATTACTTTAGCCCCAGATAAGGTATAAAGGCATCTTACCAGACAACCCCACAAGGAACAGAAAAATTCCTCTTTACTATGATGTGTCTGCTTACATGTGGCGGGACTGTCGAAATAATTCACTGCTTTTTGCTTAAACCTGCTTTACAAGTTTCTACATTTCCAACAAGGGTCCAAAGCATAGAACATTGTGTTCTTTTTACTCAAAAGACTGATTGTCTAGAAATTATGAGTTTTAACTTGACTGTTAATTAACTATTACACTTATTTAACAGCTTATTTTAAGCACATTTTAATAAAACCAAGCTGATATAATTAATTAATATTTACTATATGATTATTAATAAGCATCCCTCTCGCCTATGCATCTCTCCACCATCCTCCCACTTTTCTATGTATTTTCGGTCTTGGAATATTCAAAAATATATGTTACATTCGATGAATGCAGCATGTTTTTATTCTTCTTTATTTGACTAAAGCTCTTGTGAAATGCAAGGCATTCTTTTTTTAAATCACGTGGCTGTTTTTAAGTCATTTTACATCGAGGAATTATAACCTGTGTGACATCAGTGAGATTGTTTGCCAGTAGTGGGACACAGCTGTCCCACAATCACTTGTTGTCCAGTTATATTTGGAGTTTGGTTTTTGGGACACACAGTTATTTATATTTATAGCAGTCAATGCAAACCAAACAATTGCTACAGCACTGTTAATAGCCATCAGTGACAAACCTTCTGTAGGGGCGGCTGTTCTTTTGTCACTTTCTGTTCACAGTGATAAGCTTGCTGATTAAAATATCTACATTAATCTCTTTTAACCTTTTAAATCTGTAAGGGAATGTTGGAGCAGCTGTCCATGACTTTGAGGAACAAGTGAGAGTTGTTGGTCTGTCCCCACATCTTCTCATCTTGTGCAGTGCATTGTTTTGATGTTCAAAGGTGCCCTTTATAGTGTGTTCGCTATTCAACAGATTAAAATCTGTCCTCCTTGTTTTGTTAGAGTTTGATCTTATCAGCAAATGGTTTCTGGGTGTTCAACCCATGGATGCTTGGTGGGGGTGATGGCTGCATTCCTGTCACCTGCACATCTCAATTTACTTTTTAAAGCGCCTGCACATGCTGCTCAAAACAAAAGCTTAGCTGCCTCGGCAAGAGTATCATTTATACAAAGTCATGGAAATACCTTTACTGATGTTCTTGAAATAGAGAGCTTATTTGACTTAAACATATATATATGCTTTCATATTTTAAGCTTATATTTTTGTTTATAATCTCCTGGATCTGAATTAATATTAAGTGAATGTAGTTTCTACAGCTAAATATCAGTTCAATTTGATGAACTCACGAGGGAAAAAAAAGATACAATTAGAAGAATTTTATTGATACAATTATTCTTTTGGCGCTCAGACCTCGACAAAAACATAAGCATTGAATTTTATTGTAATATGCATAGGCAGGTGTATGAGAACCAGGATGTTTCCCCCCAGGCCTGAAACTGGTGGTGGAGTGGAGAAGATGAAGTTGGTTCATTCCAAAGACTGCTGGTTGGCGAGAAAGTGAGCTTGAGCTATACTGGTGAGATCCAGTAGACTGTGTGAGCTGATACTAGCAATACACTCATGATAGATGATAGATAGATGTCCAGCTTGGATAAACACCGGTTGCATGAACCTGTCCATGATCAGCAAGCATGAGGCGACAGTGGAGAGGAAAAACTGTCATTTGGGAAGAAACCTCTGGCAGAACCAGGCTCAAGATGCTAAGACAAGTTTTAAATGTGAACTCAAAAATCCTTTTAACTTTGTTTTGAAATGTTAAATGTAAAAATTATATAGCTTAATGTTTCTATTCCCTATATGAAAAATTTATGGACTTCTCCAGATCGAGCTAAAATTAAAAGGGGGAGTTGCAGCCTAGGGGTTAGGTCATAGGGCTTGTTCGAAGCCCACAGCTACTGTGGCTCTCTGAGCAAGCCCATTGCTTCCCGGGCACTGCACAGTGGCAGCCCACTGCTCCCCAAAGGATGCGGGGAGTTAATTTCTCCATTGTGAGATCAATAAAGTAAAAAAAAAAAAAAAAACTTTCTGCAGAAACAGCCTCTATAAAATCATAAATTAACACCAATTCTCTGATCAGTGTATCTCCAGTAGCATAACTCTATAGTTTCTAACTCTCTTTGCTTTGGTGTGGATAACCTGCTATGAGAAGTTGTCGCTGTTTCATTTTATTGTATGATAAACATTATTGGTAAATATAATTTGATAAATCATCCTGATAGTAAAAAAATGAATGAAACCTTTTCAGGCCTTATTACTCATCAGTCAATCAGAGATGCTGGTGAAATAAGAAATAAGAAATAAGCAAAATAAGAATAAATAAGAAAATATGTGAACAGTTAATGTGACCTTGAGGTGGCTGCAGCTTTTTTTGTTTTTTACAATGCTTGCCTCATGTTAGAGATCAGAATTGCGTCATCACAGCCAGTGATCAACCATAACGGACAAAGTTGCACAGAAAACCTACCATGACATACATACAGCTCAGTCATACTTGATATTTTGGCTTAACCACACTTTGTACTTTTTTTTTTTTTTTTTTTTTGTACAGCAGTAAAATGAGCTTGATTGCGTGGAATAAACAAAGAGTAACTGTCCTTTTCAGGTGTTATTTCAGATGCTCTGATAATCTGTGTCAACAAGTGTTAGGAAGGTTTAGGATGAGGATTACAGTTTCCACTCCGGTCAGTGCATGAGCTCTAAGGAACCTCTTGTATCAGCACTACTCACCACGTCTCGTGCTTCAGATAACACAAACATCTACACCTCTTAGAAAAGGTTTTATAACAGCAACATAGATTAGGAATAATGTACACACTGACAAGCAAAACAGGCAAACTTACTTTGTTACAGAGATGAACAGATCATAGAATTTTTTTTGGCTGATGTCTTGCCAAACTCTGGGCCTTTTGAAATTGATCATAGCCAATTTGTTTCTCTAGAAGATGCTGATGTTAATTTAAAATTGATTTTTCAACATGCTCATAGCATTTAATTTTAAGGGTTAGCCTTGCTAAACGTTGGTTTCTGTGTAAAACCTAAAAAGTGAAGACCCTTACTTTAACACGGAAACTTCAAAAAAGGCTGCAAGCATTTCTTAATCCAGAATGTTGACTTTAAAGGCTTGAATACATTTAGACCATTATCTACTGAATTTGACCAGACGATTTTCCTCTAGGTTGGAATAATAATAATTTTCCTAGGTTTTAAAGACCATCACCTGTTACCATAAGTATTGATTCTCTTATGCAGCAGGCTGAATAAACAGCTACCAGGACTTTACTGAAGATAAAATACTGTAGAAAATACCCTTTTCCTTTCGACTTATTTAAAAAAAAAGTTGCTGATATTCAAAAAAACACTTTTTGAATCTTCTCCCCCTCATTAACCGACTTCTATCCAGAAGCTTAGCCTAAAATTTTCTTAAGGGTGGCCAGGAAATAACCAATAAACGTTAAGGGTTGGCCGAAATTGGATAGGCACCAGAACCTCAGGGTTAAACTACACTGTTCCAACAGGAAAATTATTGAGCACAACATCATGTTTTCCAAATGAAGACAAACTATCCTTTCCCACAGCCTTTTCTAACAAATAGACGCATATATAGTGGATACAATTCTTTCAGGTTTAAGTTCTAGGGCAAACATCTTTTCCATTGTCATTACTTATTTTAATCAATAATCATTCTGCAAAAAAATTATATTCACAAATAAAAATATCTACATAAATAGATTCTTTAATACCTTTTTTTATAAAAATAGTTATGTATCTATGATTTCACTGACGACTCCTAGCTGACATGCAGAGACATAATTTTCTCTTTACCCCATATAACACAAAATCTAATTCTGTAAAGGGCATTAATTACTTATCTTTAATTTCAGTATATTTATGTGCATAATTAACCACAGTGTCTTTGCTGTTATGTTAATGTATAAAAAAAATTAAAATGGTTTGAATATTCCACTTGAGAGTACTAGTGTTGACACTGTCTGTATTAGAGCGAAAGAGTGGTAGGGGTGGCCAATGCTTAAGTAACAAGAACTAAGAGTTTACTGACCTGAAAAGCATCAGATTTTTGAGTGTGTGGTCCCAGAGAGCATGGCTGATCAACTTTAAAAACACCTAATTCTGGTCAAAGCCAGTTATTTCCTGAATGTTAAAACTATTTGTGTCTTCTTTTATGTGCAAAGTTCTTATCATACATGCTCTTTGTTTTGAGTCTTGTTTCTCTTACTCCCCCCTCACTTTCTCAAACAGAGTTGCCTTTTCCGTCAAGGCTGTTCAGTCAAGGCCTCCCGTCACATAAACGCAGAAACAGCTGAGTTCACCCTCCCTGCTTGTTTTCATTCCTCTATCCTCCCCCCCCCTCCCCCTGCCATTGTCTTTGTTTGCTTTGCCTCTTTGCCTTGAAGGGTTACCACCCAACAACCTGCTTTCCAGGCCGCTGATTGGTGGATTCTCTGTGAGAAGGCGGGGCTAGCGTTGGGCTGTGCGTGTTTTTACCAGTAGTGAAGGGATCTCAGCTGTCAGAAGGCATTTAGTCTGCATCGGAGCAGGATATCTCTGTTTGTGCTCTCTTTTAAAGCAGCTTAGACCCCTAACCTACTTTGAAAGGAACGAAAAAGTGTTTCAGAAAACAAGTTGAGAGGAATCAAATATTGACTGTCGTGTTTCCTCTCTATTTTCTCCCTTCTTTGTTGTCAACCGTTTGAGTCTCTGAGAGAACAAATCAGCACAACACCAGCTTCCGATCTGCATCCTGTGACTCAAAAGGACTACTCATCAGCAGATCCGGAGCCTGTGAGCGGCCCTAAAACACGGGGCCCCTACCGCATCCGTGCGCGTGTGTGTCAGGAGGCTAATGCCCGCCGTGGTGTGGACAGTGCCAGAGGAGGATGAGTCCGGCTGTGGAGGCTCAGGCCCAGGAGGCCATGGATGCAGAACAGAAACAGAAGCAGCAGCTGCAGAATCAGCCGTGTTGCATGGAGAAAGGAGTGATGCTTGAGCCCTTTGTGCACCAGGTGGGGGGACATTCCTGCGTGCTGCGCTTCGGGGAGCAGACCATCTGCAAACCCCTCATCCCCAGGGAGCATCAGTTTTACAAGAATCTCCCTGCTGCAATGAGGAAGTTCACCCCACAGTACAGAGGTAGTGAACATTTTTTCTAACCTACGCGTTTTTGCAGCAGTTTTTGCATGCATGTTCTCATCAAATATAATGTAGGTTTACATTGTATTGCAAACACCTAATATGCAGCTCCTGCACGAGAGATAGATTAATAGATCATCATGAAACCCTTCCTACAAATGCATGAGTGTTGTTGTTTTTTTGAAGGATGACAAAGGTACCACATTTTTCCACAAGAGGGCGTCCTAGCTGACAGCTGTTATTGCCACCCTGTTGTTTATTACTGTTTGGGATAAATTAGGCAAGTCAGGTTAATGGCTGGGAACCACTGTTTGTTTTTTGGGGCACATGGCGATCCAAAAATCCATGAAGCTGCTGGTGAAGGTCAGTGGTAAAAGATAAAGCCTTAAAAATAGTTTGGTTCACAGAGTTTATACAGTTGAATGTCCATAGAGACATACACTTTTCAGCCTCTGATTAGATTAGGTGACTTTTTCAGGGGAATTCTTGTTTGCACAAAACAGTGCCACTATGTCCAATCACCGTCTGTCCTGTTTTCTGCAGCATCTTCTCATTAAATGTTTTACTTTGGATTACAAAGCAGCATGACAGTCGTTTTAAATATTCACCTAAAATAAAACAACTGCAACGGAGCAAAATGTCAGGAATTCATTTTTACGATCCTACTGCCCCCCTTATGCTTGATTTTAGAGTCATTACAAAACATACGACCTTTTCAGCACATGAGACACCATGTTGATGAAACGTTGCGGCTGTTTATGACATAAACAAAGTTGGGAAATTGTGTAAGTATGCAAAATTTTAGGGCCAAATGTAATGGAGGTGTAGAACATTTGAGAAAAGAAGCAGACATTGAATGATTTCCTCAGTAGTAGTGTCCACACAGAGAAGACATGTTCAATGGTTGGAAAATGGTTCAATTTTTAAGTTTCAGCCCGTTTAACCAACTCAATGACTTATGTTTTGTATTTATCAATACATTCTTGTAACACTTCTCCATTTTTTCAAACCAATGTCTTAAAAATACATTTCCTGTTTTTTTTTTTCATTTGTATTTAAATCCAAGACTTGTTGAAATTAACATAGAAAATGTATTTTCCCTTTTTCCCATCTCAGGTGTTGTGTCAGTCAGCTTTGAGGAGGATGAAGAAGGGAATCTTTGCCTAATCGCCTACCCCCTGCTCAGTGACCCGTCGGCAGATGTGGAGAACAAAGACCCCTCTGCAGACTGTGATGCCAAGAGTAAAATGCTCCACTGGGGCCAAATGATCACATCCTCGCTGCTTTTGGAGAGCGAAATTTACAGCAAAGATGGCCGAGGGCGCCACTTTCGAAAAGACAATGACCAGAGGTGAGACAGCAGCCTGTGATTCAATCACACCCAGATATGTCACAAGGCATGTAATAAAAATGCAACTGTTGAGTAGTTAGTGGAGTTACCATTTAATATTTCTGCTGTTCTGTTTCATCCAGTGGGCACACGCTTCAGGGCTACACAGAGCTGGAGCGGCCCCAGCAGGCTGAAGTGCTCCGCTACAGACTGGATCACAGTCACAGTAACGCCGTCCCTCAGCTCAAACACAATCCGTGGAGCCTGAAGTGTCACCAGCAGCACCTGCAGCGCATGAAGGAGAACGCTAAGCACCGCAACCAATACAGTATCCTTCCACGTACAAAAGCCAGCCCTTTTTTTTTTTTTTTCCCCTGAGTGTGTTCAGATCTGACTATTCATACAGCGCTGATACGAATACCTGTAGCCTCAGCTGGTATCTAAGCCCTGCTATTCAATATGCTGCTATCAGTTTCTTAGCAAAAGGGATACGTTACACAATCACTCTCATCGGTTACTTGACACTGTGACCTGACGTTTCAATTTAAATAATTCGATGAACCAAAAACCTTCATCACCAAGCTTTGTAGCAAAAATGGAGGTTTATTTTAGTAAAACGTCCATTTTTCTGCTTTTATTCGCCTTAACCCTGGTGTCTCAGAATTCATCCTGCTTGAGAACCTGACATGGCGGCACGCATTGCCTTGTGTATTGGATCTGAAGATGGGCACACGGCAGCATGGAGACGATGCCTCTGAAGAGAAGAAGGCCATACAGATCCGCAAGTGCCAGCAGAGCACGTCAGCCTCCATAGGAGTCCGACTCTGTGGCATGCAGGTATGGATGGTCCGACATTTTTTCATGTTCAATATAAGATTCTTTTTTTCCTGCTGCCAACAGTACTAATCTTAGCTTAAAAATGTCATATTAAGGTACCCTCTTAATGGATTTTCCAATTGCAATCAGCTCAGCTTTTATTTTCATGTGCAGAAGATCTATTCAAATCTTGGAATAAAATCTATTGCAACTTTTTCTTCCCTTCATCATATTTTAATAGCAATTTATCGACTTATTGTTCGAAATTATGTCCACGTCTACGAAAAAAAGAAAATAATCCTACACCCATGAATTCATAACCTTTGAACCAATTATTCTCCAAGCTGCAAATCTTTGGAGGTATGTCTTCAGCAGCCAAGATTAGTATTGGTTAAATATTATAGTTTCTTTATGATTACAGGAAGAGACCCCGTTGTCTTGTCAGGGAATCTGTAACATTCTGATGTTAGCACTTGCTAGGTATTTGATTGGTAGACAACATCTGAGCGCAGTGCTTGCATTTGATGGCTCCCATGTATTTATCAATCTATTGGTGAAAATATGAGAAAGTTCTTGTAGTTTAATCGATTTGAATAGAAAAAAGCTTGAAGAGACTTTTTATTTTATTTTACAATGTTTGGGTCCCTGCAGGTCTACCATTCTGACTCCGGCCAGCTGATCTTCATGAACAAGTACCATGGCCGTAAACTGACCCTGGCTGGATTCAAGGAGGCCCTGTTCCAGTTCTTCCACAGTGGACACCGTCTGCGGCAGGAGCTGCTCTCTCCAGTGCTGAGCCGGCTCAGGGAGATGCAGGCTGCTCTGGAGTCCTGCGAGTCGTACCGCTTCTATTCCAGCTCCTTGCTCATCATCTACGACGGAGCTCAGCACAGAAAGCACACACGCCGGCGCACCAAAGACGGGCTCTCTGAAGACGAGGAGGAGGACGAGGACGAGGAGGTGGAAGCTGAGCCTAAAATGGACGAGGATGTGGACGAAGAGGAGGAGGGGAGTGAAGAGGCGGGTGCGTTTGGCTTTCCTCACAGCCCAGCGCCATCTAGCGATAGCAGCAGCAGTGGGAGCTCCACTAATAGCCAGCCCCTATCAGAGCTCTGCAGTCCTGTGGTAGATGTGAGAATGATTGACTTTGCTCACACCACCTGCAGACATTATGGCGAGGACAGTGTGGTCCATGAGGGCAAGGACAGTGGCTATATTTTTGGTCTCCAGAACCTGATCACCATCATCTCTGAACTGGAGAACCACTGCACAGACTGACCGCTAAAATAAAACACATAGTTACAAAATCAGAGGAGGAACTGAGGAGAGGACTATTTTAGCGCTGTAGCTGTTCCTTTACCTCTTTTTGCCATCAGTGCTTTTTGATGTTACTGTTGTGACTGCCAGCTGACAGGAAGTGAAATGGACTCAAGGTAACAAAGAAGCGCTGTATGTGCGAATGTCGCCGACATTCATCGTCCAGTTTTAACCCAAGTAACCAATAAGGAGAAGGGCAGGCCGTATATAAAAGCCATTCAAACTTCAGACGGCAGGTGTTCTTGTGTCAGATTTCCAAAGAGAGAGTCATTTTGCACTGGGGACACACCCTGAAGAAGGGGGGTGTGTTGGGACTGAAACCAGGAGAAGCAGAGCGACTGAAGGAGGACAGAAACTGCGAGTGAGCAAGATGGCGAGCTCAGGCTTCGTTCTTCTTCTACATGGTCATCTTGCCATCATTCTTTTTTCTCTCTCCTAAAGCTAAATATATCTCAGAGAGATAATAGAGAGATATTTATTTATATCATAAAATCAACTAAAAATGTCAAAAAAAAGAGACTGTGAATGGAGAGTACTACATTCCATCTTATTAATGTTACAATAATGATATTGATTAATATTGTTATTTGACATGCTTGTATACCTCTACCTTGTTTTTTTGTTTTTTTTTTTCGTGTTGTCCACAATTTGGTGGAGGGAAATTAAAACCTTTGTGGTAGCAGCTGTGTCTTTTGTTGTTTGCAAAGTAGGAAAGGAAACAAATGATTTCCTGCTAGTACTACATTTAAAAGCCACAGCAATCAAATCTCATGCAAATCTCTCTGGGGTTTCTTTAGGGGTGTTTACAGAGCAAAGCCCAAGATGAGAGAATTATTTGTTCTTCCTCAGAGGCCTGGAAATAGTAGAAATAAGTTAGATGGATGTTCTTTAATCGGGCCAATATAGAACAGAAATCCTCCGATGTAAACACCCACTGCCGTTCATATTTGCATTAAAAAAATCCTTTAAGTAGCACAGAAAGCATGCTTTTCTTGAAGCTATCAAATAACTTTTTTCGTAGTTCTGGCTGGATATCGGACCTCTCAGATCACCAGTAGATTGCATATAGAAGTATTTTTTTGGTCCCTTAGACCCAAATTTTCAGCATATTTGGTAAAGTTCCAACAGGGTTGAGGTTTGTGTAATTCCAGAAACTCAATGTGGGCTTATTTGATCGTTTCTTAAACCAATTATGATGTTTGTTTGTGTCAATATCCTGTTGGAACCTCCAGACAAAGTCACTTCTTTTATTCTAAGAAAAATGGATAGGATGTTAAAAAAATCCCTAAAGATCAAGCCTACCAGAAACTGGAAGATGCTGGATCGACAGCATAGTCTTTCGCATAAAAAAATAGTTCCTGCTCCAAAACAGATATCTTTAAGCTTGATTGCCCATGTAAAAAAGCAAAGTTGCTTTTAGAATAAAGTTTTGTTAAAGCCAGAGGTAGGTAGAGTACCCAAAATGTGAACAAGAGCTTTACTCTTTCAATGTATACTCAAGTAAAAGTCAAAAGTAACAATCCAAATAATTACTCAAGTAAAAGTAAAAGAGCACTTGGTAAACAGTACCTGGTAACTGATCATAACATCTGATTTAACATTTAAAAATGATGTAAAGTTATACAAAGTATAAACTTATATGAAAATCCTTGTGTTTTTCAAAGAATGACCCAAATAAATAAATATCTATCAAAAAACACTAATGATTTCGGAAAAATAGAAAACTATTAGAATATATATCTTGAACCCAACACTCAGGAGAGTTGGACTTAGGATATACAATGTATATAGGTAAGAGTAGGATAAGTAGCTTCTTGTAATATATACATTTTTTTTTTGTATTTTCACTTCAGCAGTGAAGATTAAAACAATGATGCTTGAGTACAAAAAAATTCCATTTTTTTTAATAAAAAAAAAATCTTGCTTAAACATAAACTCTAGGTCTGTTGATTTGGTGAAATTTTGTCTAGAAATTCATTGAGTGAAGTTAGGCATGAGGGCTGAGAAGCCAGACATTTTTCATCATGTAAGAGTACTGATTTAAAAGATTTCTTCTTAAGTCAAAGTAAAAAAAAAAAAAAAGCAGTAAAAATACAAAAGTTTACTTTTTTTTCCCCAAAAGCCGAGAGAGGACTCAATATGAGGGTTTCAAACCCAAGAATAATGTACTAGTTGTCATGCATGGTGGGGGCAGGACTATGCTGTGGTTGAGCTTCACAACCACTGGTATTGGAGCAATAAGAATTATACTGTTGAAATTTGGGCTTCGTTTTGTTTTCCAACCTAAACATTGATCCCAAACATACTTGAGGGTTCCTTATATGCTGCATGTGAAAAGGCCCCAACCTCAACTCTATTGGTAAATGTACAGGCTATGTTTAAAAGTCAAATTAGTGCCAAGGAAACCAACCGATTTAAATGACTCCTTCCAAGATTAAAAACAAAATGAGATCCATAGGAATTTTATCAGAACCTTGATAATATTTCCAAATAGTGTTAGATTTCTCTGCAACCTCCACATGCCCATATTGTTATTCCATGTTTTTTATGTTAACTTCTCAACACAGATAAAGCAGAAGGTGCTGTTCTAGACTTTGATCTGTGTGCATTATTCACTCGGTATATAACTTTATATTTTTAAAATCCACAATAAACGTTGAACATGTCGATTTATTTTCTGTAACACCATCTAACAAAAAGTTGTCATTTTTAATAATCCTACCCCCACAGAAAAAAATATAAAATGTCCAGGCTCCAATGTTCAAAATTAGTTTGTCATTAATTGAACATATTTCCATTTCTTACCAGCACTATGTGATGCACACACATCACCCTGGAAAATTCTATGTAATTTCCTGTAATTTTGAGCAGGGGTACTGCTGGAAGCCAAATTTCCTTTAATAAATGTCCATAGCTTTTATCCCCTCAGTCATTAAGAAAGTTTTATTGCAGACAGAAATGGTGGATTGTTCCAGAAGGAGAATGGATGATGACGTTTCCCAGCTTCTGCCTCAGCCAGTCATAGTCATCCCCAACCGGTCTGAGGCAGACAACGCAAGGGCGACTCATCTACTCTAAGAGTCACAGACACATCAGTTGTCTGTGTAAAAAAAAAGAAAAAAAGAAAATAGCTCTTAAGTAGAGGAGAGCTTAGGTCAACACAGTGCAGAGGCCATTAGCATGCTCGGAAACGTGCTACCCTGCTGGTACAGATCCACTCTCTCTGAGTTTGTGACAGATTTAATGCACTCATTGGTACATAAACTTATACACATGACAACATATGGTAGATTTTATTGTCTTTTACTCTTGTTAAAACATAATGAAAGATTTAAAAATGACCGATGAGCTTCCTCATATCTAGGATTTGGATGTTAATATTTTGAGCCAAATAAATTATAATTTGTAACCTACTGGTTATTAATGCACATAATTTTTCAGATTTTAGGCCAATCTTGTTTAGAATCTTTCAAAGAAAATAAAGAAACAAAGGGATTAATGTTAATGTAACTAATTTTAATTATCCCCATTTAATTTGATTTGTTTCATGTAGTGGTGACAGAAACGGCATGACAATGAGTATTTATTTTGTATAGTCTTTACAACTTTAAAAGTTGCATTATTTGTGATGTAAACTTTACTCTGTAAGTTAATCTAAGATCTGGAAACATCTAATTACTATATATGGCCCTGTTCTCTCATCCACCCTTCTAAATGAGAAAGACAAGAGTAAATGTTCTTAAGTTATGGGAAATTAGTTTTGCCCTTCCTAAATTAGAAAAGGCTGTAAGAAAATAAATGCTCAACCCTATTTATCGTCATTTACAATCATATATATCTGTATAGCAGGGGTTGCAAAAAATATGAAGGGAGAATAAACGTAGGTGCAGAGACTAGATTTATTTGTTACATTGTGGTTCCCCCACCATAATGTCTAAATGGGCAAATAAGGAACAATTCAAAAAGTAATTTTTCGCATCTAAAGATAAAGGATGCTCCAAAGGTAGAAGATTCTTCTGTGTGTATTCATTTATCATTTGTGTTCTTTAATAATGTGGTCTGATAACATTAATGTTATTCTAGACCAGCCATGCCAGGTTTGTGTAAAGAGTAATCCCATTGGCTGTAATGGGTCAAACCCTTTGTGAATGACACGACAGACACTGTAATCTCTCTTAAGAGTCTAGGTCAGGCCAGAGAGGGAAGAACATTCTACTAAACATATGCAGAGGCTAAGCATACAGTGGCTGGCAAAAGTGAGGTGACCCCCTGGGTTTTTACACATTGTATCATAAGTTACATGCTTGTGTAGTAAAAGGAGAAGTGATGCATGAGTTTAGATTTTTGTTTGCTAATTAAAATTGGAGGAATGAGGCCTGTGCTGACAGCTTTACTCTGAAACCACCACACTAAATCTAGCGCAACGCGTTTCCTTCAGAGGTGTTTTCCTCTGTCTGGCCATCAATATTTTCTGTAAAAAGCTCTAAAACCTTAACAGAGCATCTGCATTTATACTGAGGTAAAATTTCACACAAATGGATGCTGTTTAGTAACTGTATTACTTATTTATAAAAAGGTGAACAGAAACTTACTCCACACTCTAACAGACCTGTTTGTATGAAAAAAACCCAAAGCATGCAACTTTTTACGTCTGCTGCATGATGATGCCCTACCTAGTGTTGATCTCTCAAATTACATTCCAATGAAGTAGAATATGAATGCTTTACGAAGCACTGTATGCAGTTTTGAAGGATTGCTGATGTTTAAAAGCTACGCTTTGGCACTGGGGTGAGAGAACAACAGATCAGAGGAAGTAGAAATACAGTCGATAAGTAGTGTAGTAGATAAGCTCTTCCCTTTCTGCTCTGTTGGTGAGGAGTGGGGGAAGGGGAGAGTGTAACCAATATTACATAACAGCCTTAGGGTCGGTGGGCTGTTCTTAGCCATCTGAATGATCCCATTCTGTCAGTGCTCTGTGCTGTGTCTGTCCAGGCCTGTGCGCAGTTTATATTATAGGTCCATTACATTTACAAATGATACACCATTTGAATTATTCCACATCACTCATGAGCCTGTGCATCATTGTAGTCCACTGCTTATGTGGAGGTTGCCACCACAAGTGGGGCTCTTGCATAACAGCGGGTGATGTTCCTATGGCAACAACAGTTTAAAAGGGTGTCAAATTCTTGAGTCTTCCTAGTCACATCCTCATTCATCTAATTTTAGCAATACTATCCTTTACATTCTCCATTCATTAATGTACTCCCATTCTGTGGTTGTACGTGTACGCGGCAATGTACATCAAAGTGTACTTGAAAATGCCACGTATTTGGTGCACTTTTGTATCATAAAAACAAGAATATTATAATTAAAGTGCTGTCTGATGTTTAATTGTCAAAGCAGCATGGGAAAATGGTAAACTTATCTAAAGATCTCCCGCCTTTGGGAGATATGTCACAGTCCAGAAAAGCCTCTTGGTTTTTCACAGTTTGTAGGATTTGTTTTTGACATTTACATTTATGAATTTCTGACACGGCATGCACTGATGGGGAAAACATTGCACCTCCTACATCTTCTCCTCTGTTTGCATTCCTATAAATTGGCCTTTGGCACATGTTTATACTTCTTTCA